TTTGAGTACATTTTCACTTTAAAAATATTGTAATATTTGTTTTGAAAATGTGAATTATTTTTAAAATTTCTTACTACTTGTGTTAAATAGCAGTTTTACCATCACTGTAATTCAAATATTATAATAAAACATTAAAGGTGGCGACCTTACTTTAAAACTATAAGTATTCCAAATAATACAAAAAATATTTGGTTTAAAGAGAAGAAATTTTGTTTTTTTTGTCTAGGTAGAAATTAAGTTTTGCCTCCTTACTAAATATGATATTTATTCGTGTCGTTGCAACTAATTTTTTTTTATAATAAAATTTCGGGAGATAAAAGTCACCTATTATTTTTCAAAATTTCAAAAAACAACGAGTTTGGAAGATATAAATTTTTGAATTTATGCAAAACCTAATTCGTTTTTGCTATCACATGTCACACAAGATTTTCTTCGCAGAGTTTCAATAACTATTTTTTAATGACATTTTAGGGGCTGAATGACATTATATTAAGCTATCATCACCCTTATTTGCATCATCAAAAAGATTTTATTTTTTACTATTTTTTTACTTTTGACTATAACTGTCCAAAAATTTAATGAGATTTTTTTGACCTTTTATATAAACATGATTTTTTTTTGGATGGTTACAATTAATCTTTTTTAATTAAATCTTGGAAGCTAAAGTTACATACGAAGTCAATAATTTCCCAAAATTTCATTGTTAAAAAACATTGAGTTTGAAAGATATAAATTTTTAAATTGATGCAGTAGCAAAATTACCGTTTTGTCCTTACATACCAACCAAGAATTTTTTTCGCATAGTTTCAAGCAATATTTTTTAATGGGATTTTGAGGGCTAATAGACACTATAATGAGTTATCATCACCTTTAATTGCATCATCAAAAAGTTTTTATTTTTGGGGTTACGTTTTCTTAAATTTTGACTATCATAGTCCAAAACTTATTAAAAAATGTTGCCTTCTTACACCAAACATTTTTTTGAGTAGTTACACTTAATATTTTTTAACAAAATTTTGGAAAATAATAGACATTTACTAAGTCTATTATTTCCCAAAAGTTGATTGTTAAAAAACATAGAGTTTAAAAGATATAAATTTTTGATTTTAAGAAGCAAAATTATGATTTTATCCTCCATATAGAATAAGAGTTTTTTTGCATAGTTTCAATCAATATTTTCTAACAAAATTTTAGGGGCTAATAGACACTAAATTAAACAATCACTGCCCTTAATTGCATTATCAAGAAACTTTGATTTTTGCAGTTACAATTTTTTTAATTATGACTATCACTGTTCAAAAATTAGTCCAAACATGATTTTTTTTCAAGTAATTGTAATTAATTTGTTTTAACAAAATTTTGGGAGCTAATAGTCCTAATTTTCCAAAGATTCATTGTTAAAAAATATCGAGTTGGAAACATATAAATTTTTAAATTAATTGATGTTGTAGCAAAATTACCTTTTTGTTTTTCATACTAAACAAGAATTTTTTTCGCTTGATTTTAAGCAATATTTTTTAATAGAATTGTGGGGGCTAATAGACACTATAATGAACTATCATTACCCTTAATTGTATCTTTAAAAAGTTTTTATTTTTGGAGTAACATTTTTTTAAATTTTGACTATCATGGTTCAAAAATTAATAAAAAAAATAGTTTTTGCACACCAAATATATTTTTTTGAGTAGTTGCACTTATTTTTTTTAGCAAAATTTTGTAAACCAATAGACATATACTAAGTCTATTATTTCCCAAAATTTTATTAAGTCTATTATTTCCTAAAATTTTATTGTTAAAAAACATCGAGTTTAGAAGATATAAATTTTTGAATTTAAACAAAAGCAAAATTACGATTTTATCCTCACATATCAAACAAATTTTTTTTCGCATAGTTACAATCAATATTTTTTAACAAAATTTTAAGGGCTAATAGACACTATATTAAACAATCATTGCCCCTAATTGCATTATCAAAAAACTTTAATTTTTGCAGTTATAATTTTTTTTAATTATGACTATCACTGTTTACAAATTAGTTCAAACATGGTTTTATTTCAGTAATTGTAATTAATTTTTTTAACAAAATTTTGGGAGCTTATAGTCCTATACCAGTCCTATAATTTTCCAAAAATTCATTGTTAAAAAACATCGAGTTCGGTAGATATAAATTTTTAAATTGATGTTGTAGCAAAATTACCTTTTTGTCCTTACATACTAAACTCGCATGATTTTAAGCAACATTTTTTAATAGAATTGTGGTTCTAATAGACACTATAACAAACTATATATTTACCAATAATTGCATCATCAAAAAGATTTTATTTTTGGAGTAACATTTTTTTTAATTTGGACTATCATGGTCCAAAAATTAATAAAAAATTTTGCCTTAGTACACCAATTTTTTTTTTAATTGCAATTAATTTTTTTTAGCAAAATTTTGGAAACCAATAGACATTTACTAAGTCATTACCCCCAATTGAATTATCAAGACACTTAAATTTTTGCAGTTAAATTTTTTTAAATTTTGACTATTACAAGTCCAGACATGTTTTTTTTCAAGTAACTAGTTGTAATTAATTGTTTTTAACAAAGTTTTGGGCGAAGCTAATAGTCCCATACCGGGTCTATATTTTCCCAAAGTTTCATTGTTAAAAAGCATTGTTTTCGGAAGATAAAAAACAAATTGACATTAAGCCGAAGCAAAATTCCTTTTTTGCTCTCACATATCAAACAAGAATTTTTTTCGCATTGTTGAAATTAATATTTTTTAATAAAATTGTAAGGGTTAATAGACACTGTAATAAGCTTATTACCCCCAATTGCATCATCAAGAAGCTTTCATTTTTGAAGTTACAATTTTTTAAATTTTGACCAACATTGTTTAAAAATTACAAAATGTGTATTTTATTTATTGTCACTTTAAGTATTTTACTCCACTTATTTTTAGAGAAATCACAAACTTTCAATCTGTGCTTATATTTGTAGAAACTAATCCCCTTGGCAAGTTTGAATAAAATTTCGTAATATTTTTTTGGTTTATTTTTTGTATTTTTTAAATTTTAATATAAAGAGACATAAAACAGGTCAAGGTTTTGATTATTCGAATTTTTAGGCCAAAGCTGGGATTTAACTTAATTATAAAATTTGATTTCAATTGGTTTCAAAAATAATAAAAAATGTGTTTTTGTCTCGATAAAAGTATCACTCTCACACACATTTCCATTATTCCATTATTTAAAACTTTCTCTTTTCTATGCGTGGCAGATGTCCAGCACAACTGTCATCACCTTACGCAACACCAAAATCACCTGTTTGAGCATTTCTGGACTGACATCCAGGAAATTCTGTCCTGGATACGGCTGACTGATATCAAAAATATTCGTCCAGGATTGCGCCCACATATTCCCCAAAATATGCGCCGGAAGTGGAGCCTGGCGATTCAGCCTTTCCGGTCCGTAATAATCCCTCAATTTCCTCCTCATATAGGCGTGCAACAGCTCGTAGAGGGGCTTCACGTCCTCCCAGGCGTCCTCCAGGTCCAGACTCAGCGTCGAAGATTCGAAGGGAAAGCTCCAGTACTCGGCCGTGTCGGTAAAATCTGCGTTTCAACAAAGGGTTTAGCAACACGAGACAGGAAATGGCTTGAAAGTCTACTTGCATATGTTTGGCTTTGTACAATTTTTATCTTGAGACAATTAGTTTATAGAAACGTGAGTTATGTAAGGTATTGGAAATTGAAAAATGGACTTTCACGCGGATTTTGCTTACTGTGATTGGGTTTAATCAAGTGTTGAGTAGGATGAGGGGCGATTGATGGATCAGTTAATTACGAATTGAATGATTTATTTATAGGGGGAGTGGTGAGAGACGACATAGGGGACTTCATTAATTACTTGAGGCAAAATTTGAGTTTATTATAGACTAGCGAATATTAGAAATGTATGTTCAAGAAATTGATTCTAGAACGTGTGGAGATTTTGTTGGGGTCACTTGAATCGACTAAATTTTCAGTTTTTTCGATTTTTGACGAAATTTTAAATATTAAAACCCCTTCTCTGTTTAATATTGTTGCGAATCAATGAAAAAACAATTTTTGATCTTTTTTCTATCAAAAAAATATACTATTTATAATATTTCAGAAACCATTTAAGATAAAATTACAAAATTTGGTACAGATGATAATCTTTATACACCTAAACGAATTAAATGTCGAAATTTTTAATCAGAGGCGTACGAAACTGGAGGAGTTTAAGCTAAAAAAATACCCTATTTATTTTGGCTTTAGTTTTTCGGTACTTTCAGCAACAAAAGTTCGATAGTTTATCACAGAAAAGTCTCTCTTGTGTCGATACGACTTATTGTTTTTGAATAAAATTAATTTAAAATTTATGTTACACACCAATACAACATTCAAATAAATCAGAATTTGCAGAATAATAAAAACAAGAAATTCATATTTTTTAATCAACCTCAACTAATTAACATTACATTACAGTAACAATAATAACATTAATTAAATGAATTTACCTAAATCTAAAGGAGTTGTTCAAAGAGACCACCATTTTGGTCAATGCATAACTAAAGAAACTATTGTCAAAATAGATAGGGTATTTTTTTTACCCTAAACCCCACAAAATTCGGACGCCCCTGATTAGAAATTTCGACATTTGATGATTGAATTCGTTTAGGTGTATAAACATTATCATCTGTACCAAATTTTGTAATTTTATCTTAAATGGTTTCTGAACTATTAGCAAAAACATATTAGCCCCCTTCCAGGGGGTGTAGCTCCCTTACCAAGCATTTTTCGATACATGTTTATAGGAAACTTTTGTGTTAGAATTAAATATCCTATCACCTGTTTAAATTTGTAACAATAAAAACGGAACACCCTGTATATTTAAGACTATTTAGTTTCAAATTTGAGTGAAAAATATACTAATTAAGTTTTTAAATAAAAAAATTGGGATCGTTTTTGAGTTTCTAAATTTCAATTTGTGCTTAAATTTATTTCTTGCATTTCTACAACACTTATGTACATACTTTTCTAAATCTCTTGTACCCTCAGGAGTGCAAATTGTTTAATTTTGAAGTTAATGTTTTTTTTGATTTTTGTCGAAATTTTGGTCGATTTCTGGCATTCGGAGCGGTCTATTGCCAATAACTCCGGACTTATTGGTGATAATCTCTTATGTTTAATACCATTAAAAAAAAAATAATTTTCTTACAAAAAATGTCAGTGTTCTACGATAAATGGGTAGTTATTTCTGATAAAGTCAAAAATATCGAAAATATAAATTCGAGTAAAACTTCAAAACTGTTATGAATTTTGCGGTTTTCTTGGCGTCGATCGATTTCCTGAAACATTTTACATATGTCTACGTCAAAATATTATATCATTGAGATACAGTTTTTCCGCAATTTACAAAATAAAAACAAAAAGTAAAAATTGCTTTTAACCTTATTCTTAACTTTATTACTCAATATCTCAAAAACTATGCATCGTGGTGTATTTTAACTTGTTGCATCGTGTTCAGCGCGTAATTTTACGTCTAAAAACCATATTTCAAGCGTTTTTACGACTTTTAGGAAATTGACTATTTTTACGATTTTACCACCGCTCACTTTCAAAAATTCCAAAATTCGTAATTTTTTAAACTTGACCCAATAACGTTTTATGCACTTTTTTGAGTCTTTAAGACCTCTAAACATGTAGAAAACGATATATAAAACAATTTTAAAGTTAAGAATTTTTTTGAATTTTTGATCGATTTTTGGTACCTTTGCTAATAAGTTCGAACTCATTGATGATAGTTTCTTTGGCTTGTTTAATACCGTTGGAAATCACTTTTAATTGTCTATCATATAAAAAAAAACATTGTTTTTCAACAAATAATTATTGAAATAATCACTACAGTAAAAAGATTAACAAACAAAATCTAACCTCAACTCCAACTTTTAAAGTATTAAAAATTTTGCTGTTTTTTCAACGCCAGTCGATCTCTTGTAACATTTTGCATACAAATAGCTCAAAACATTTACCATTTTCGTTATATTTTAACTGAAATTTTGCAAAATAAAAAAACAATTTCGATAAAACGAAGCAAAAACTTGTCCGAGTTTAATAAATAAGAAATAATAAATTAAATAAGCATTTTTAGAATAATTACATCCGCATTGCTGTCAAATTTTTACATAAAACCATCTTCTAGAACAAATCCAGTTTAAATATCACGCATGTAGGAGTATAGAAAGTCAATTTTATTTATTTCACTTGATATTAATAGCTCCACGGTGTGTGATCAGTGCAACTAATTATACAGTGTGTCTCAGAAAATTAAAGAAAACAAGACAAGCAAAAATTTCTTTTCACTTTGTCCATCACCAAGTCGCATGAATGTAAATTCCCCTGGATCAACGGAAAACTATTTCTCCAGTGAATAAAGTATTGCTTTATTCCGTCACAAATAAAATAAATAAAACACCAATTTTTACTATTAAAATAAACTGGAATTGGATAAAACTATTCTTTTAAATATTTTCGACATAGACAAACTCCTTACAATGAAATAAACTGAAAATTTTTACAAGTTAATTGATATTATTTTTAATTAATCTTAATTTAGTCTGGGAAGGGGAAGCCGAGGGAGTTTTCATTCAATACGTCATAACATTTTTTTGCTTGATTTTAACAGACATTCCGATTAAGTATCATAGAAAATTAAAAAAATAAAAGCTCAATTATTTAATCATAAAGTTTAAGCTTTCTTTTCATAATTTTTTAAATAAAAGTAAAAATATTACTTTTTTTAAAGAAAAAAAAATTCTCAGTTAAATATTAAATATTATTTATGTTGAAACAATATTTTAGAATAATCTTTAGATGAGAACATGTCTAAATTTTGTTCTTTATTTTACTTGAAAACATTTAATTAATTATCTCTTTCTTATTTAAAATAATAATTTAAATAAGGGTTTTGTAAGAAGGGAAAAATGGCGGCTTTTTTGTTACAATCTGTATTTTAAACAAAAAATTTGCAAAAACAAAGTTAATTTGTATTGTAGAAAAAATAATAATTTCAGATTTTTTTTTTGATTTCTTCCCAAAATTTGCAATTTTTGTCTTTCACCAAATTCCGTTTTAACAAATTTTTAGAAAATCAAAAAAGATACAGAGTGACTCATGTTTTATCGTTAAAGTCATTATTTTTTTTATTAAAGTAATCCGCAATTTTCTAAAAACGTAGCAAAAGTACAATTTGAAATGTTGAAACAAAGTATTACAAAAATAAGTTTTTATCTGTTTTTAACCTAAAAACATTTCGTTGATTGATTTATTCATTACAATTAAAAAAAAGTAATAATATTTATTTATAGGTGCGATAGGTATTTTACAGCATGAACTTTTAATATTGAAACACGAAGAGAAGCTGAGTGCTTTAATAAAATACTAAAACTGAATTAAAGTGTCTTTATTTTTGGTATCTTGAAATTAATAAACTTCATTTAGTATAAAATTTTATTTTTTATTACATGACGTGCGGTAAACTTGACAAAAATTAAATTCCGGTGTGTCAACGGAAAACAATTTTTCCAGTGAATAAAGTGACGCTTTATTCCCTGGCAAATAAAATAAATAAAACATCAATTTTCACTCTTGAAATAAACTGGAATTGAATTAAATATTTTTTGACAAAGACAAACTCCTTACAATTAAATGAACTAAAACTGTCAAATTAATTGACATTATTTTTTAAATTAATATTAATTTAGTCTGAGAGAAAAGTTTTGTATGCAACTCTAGAATACACATCGACAATCCTGCAATTGTAGGTGACCCCAGCGGCAACCGGAGAGAGCCGAGGGCGTTTTTATTCAATACGTCAAAACTTTTAATTTTTTATTTTTTTTTGTTTTTTCGGAAACTCACTGTTTAGCCTCGCAGCTTCGTTCGACAACCCAACCATTTGCTCGAACAAATCCTTGATATTTTGTCCCGTATTTCGCCTCCATTCGGTCCAAGTGTATTGCAACTCGTCCCAATTTCGGCTAAAGGCCATAATGTTGGTCAAGTCGGGCTGGAGACGAAGCCCGCAGCGGAAGGGCTCCTTGAGGGCGCAGATGGAGGCGCTGTTGTAGATGGCGAGCATGTCATTGATCAGTCTATTATACTAAAAAAAACAATAAATGATTATTTTCGTGTCATTATAAGAGTGAAACTGTTCTCGTCATTCATTAGTACCTCCTCAGGCTTAAATTTTTTCCCACTTTGATTAATTGACATCTCTGACACGTCTTTTTCCATAAATTAAATTCGCATCAAAGCAACTCGTTCATAGATTGCGTAATCGATTTGTGAGAGTAATTACGAGTAATTTGTTTAAAAGTGAACGGAATGTTGTTGAAGACGTGCGATAGTTTAATTAAAGATTTGTTATGATTTTTCGAGTGGGAAAGAGATTGGGCCTCCGGCTTGACTTTCATTCAACACTTGAGATTATCCACATTTTTGTTTTTCGTCGTGTTGTTTGGTTTCATTCTGAGCTTATGTAAACTGGACATTTTTGTATTATTTACCGTATGTTAGTGCAATATTCATTGCTAAAATAAAACTAAACGAGTTGTGACTGACTGTTGTGATCTATTTACATTTATAATTAACTTGCCTTTTGCAACAATAACAAATAATTGTGTTTAATCTAGATTGTTGGCCTTACACCGGCGTAAAGTTGGTTGCCTACAATACTCTTTGTCCCGTTATTTGTTCTTATTTATTAAACAATTATTTGGATTTCTTCAATTTTTCTCTCAATATCAAAAACCGCAAATCCGAAGTTAATTTTAATTTAATTCTATTAAATCTTTGTAATTAATTTAATTAATTGGCTCATTTATTTCGCAAAAATGTTTTATTTGTTTAAGTTAATTTCTAACATTCGAAATAATTTTAATTTTTAAACACTTAAATGGAAATCTCAATTAATT